GCAGTGCCAACATGTCACCTTTGCTTTTCATGTTTTAAGTGGTCTGCCCAAGTCTTTTAGACTCCTTACAGGATCCTAGCTCTTAATCATTGTTCCCTTCTCAGGGAAGGCTGTGTTTGCTTTTTACCTTGTTCTAGAAGAGACTAGATCATCTCACCAACACTTCCAATCATCTTACTTTAGCAGGACAATCATATTCAGTCTGTGACAGCCACTTGTAATTTTAACTAAAATCATTCCAACTTAACCAGGCATTGGGGTATTCGACAGCATTAATCCATTTCACCTAGTAAAGACTGAAACCTAACTCTGTTCTTAGTGGTTATTGGTAAAGAGATACTTTCCTGGCTGATCCTGTTTGACCAGGATGTCTCTGTAACTAAATCCCATGACCCTGACAGCAGCAGCCAGTCTGTGGTTTCTCATCTCACACTGTGACCAACTCCCACCCAGATGTCTGCTGAAGGTCTGGACTGGACCTGTAACATCTAAACTCTTCTCCCTCCACTACAGGAAGAAAGTACACTGTTGCATTGCCTAGTTGGGTCCAACATTTCCAGTTCCTAATGCCTCGAGACAGCTGTTGTTCAGGGAGCCTACCCTATTCTTCAGCAGCACACTTCAGCCCCATTGAGCCTGGTAAACTACCACACAGCCCATCTGTACAGCTCCTGTAATACCCTCAGTATAGCCTAAACTATTTTCTATAGCATTTCTGACCCCCTGAGTCCCTCAGGCCTGCAAACTAGCCAACCCACTGGAAGTGAGCACTCTCAGGAGCTCTCACTATACCTCTCCTTCCTAGCTGGAACTAAAATACAGATTGAAACCTTGAAATACAGATTTTTTTCTTAGCTGGTCTTACAACCCTCTTTATTGGCCGGAAGTAATGGTCAGTTTCGTACAGAGAGTATCCCAACAGCCCTTCCCTCATGTGGAATTCCACTCCATCTGAGTTTTAATTACCCATTCAGACTAGCTGTGCCTTTACTCCCAGTTAACAGGTGACAATCCTGGCTCAAGGTCACTCCCAAGGCCTGTGTTTTGAGCCAAGATGGTAGATTTCTCATAGGGTTTCTCAGCATGTGCATTAACTCTGCAGTGATATCAGTGAAGATCAAGCTCTTAAAACTTTCAAGACATTTTAAAAGTGATACTGATCAACTTCCACATGGTTAATATTATCTATAATTTAATATTATGATTCATATTAAGCTATTCACTTTTTTTTTCAATAACAATGACTGCACAATCTTTTTTTGTTTTTTTCTGGATTAATTTTGTTTTTCATTTAATGAGGAAACCCAACCCCGGTTCTTCAGAGGCACAACCTTATAGCCTTAAAACAGGCAAGATCACATCCTCAATAGATGAAGACTTAAACTCAACGTTATTCCTAATCAAATTATGGAATGGAGTCAATTATGTCATTAAGGACTCAAATGGAACAAAACCTGAAAATCCTGTGTCTCTCCTGTGATGAGGATAGAACAGCAACTCACAACTCTAGTCCTGGAAGGCCAGATATTTTGTTTCTACCAAAGCCTTTAATTACCTAATTTAATGCATTATTAACTCAATTAGATGGGTTGAAGCCTTTCCATGTTGTTAAGAAATACCTGGAAAACCAGAAGAGTTGGACTCCCCAGGGATAGAGCGTTACTAGAGCAGACCTTCTTGGATGCACCTCTTGAGGATGTTACAGGCATAGATAAGGAAAATTAAGCTGTATCTCAAGTCAAGAGAAATGTGAGAACTGTCCTACAGCCGGTGACACAGGGGCATACCACAGAGAGGGTGGTGCTTCTAACTTGCTTTCATAAGATTATGAGAGTACTCCTGTCACTCTTGAGGGACCAGGATATGTGGCTGGGCTGGAGAAGTGGGCACATTGTTTTTTTGTTTCCTTCATATCCACATTTTTACAAGTAAGATTTTCCAAACTAGCAGAAAATAAGCATAATCTTTTTCAGTGGCTTCATTGTTTTGTTTGCTTCTTTAGTATTCATTTCCTTCTAGTCAGAATTCTAAGCCATCCATTTCACCTTTTTCCTCTTAAGTTGTTTCAGATGCAGTCATAGTCACTCAGAGGCCTGAAAATGGGATCAAAACGAATGGGGATCCTGTTACAATGTACTGTGAACACGATGACAACAACCATGATAACATCTACTGGTACCGCCGAGGAAAAGATGGGGGCTTTCTTTTAATAGCGTATTCTTATGGTACTAATATGGTGGCCAATGAAAAGGCTTTTGAAAAGGGATTTAAAATGCTAAGACCTGAAATCAAGAACTCTTCTTTAGAAATACAAAGTCTCAAGGAGGAGGATGCGGCAGTGTATTTTTGTGCGTCGAGTGTCACACATTGTCTCAGGCCTGCCTCACAGCTGCACAACAACTAACGCTGGGCCCCATCTCTCAAATCTCTAAAGTTCCTATACTGTACTTTCAGGAAGTTTTAATAATCTAATAGTAGTAACAACACTTTACCTCGGACACACTTAGACATTCCAAAGCTTTGCATTGTCTTAATAGACAAATAATATATACATGAAAACTATTAATGTTATATACATATTGTATATATTCTATATAATGTTATATTAAAAATGTATAACTGTTCAAAACAGTTCAACTATCAATATATTAACTAGACTGTCTATTATTTGTCTCACGCATTAATATACTGTATATTTTAGTTGATTTTTTTATACAGCTTTTGAAAAAAGGATAGATGTCCAGTATTTTGCCTGATATTTATTCTGTAATGAATATATAATAATCAGTTTACTCTTCAAGCTAAGGTGGTGGTTATAAAAGTTTTAACATTTTACACGTAGGGTATAACAGTGGCACGGTGGTTAGCAGTGCTGTCTCTTAGCGCTGGAGCTATGAGTCCATTTCCTGGGGTGCTATCTGCTGGGAGCTTGTGCTGTATTTTCTCCCCATGTTAATGTGGGGTTTTGTTGGGTGCTGTGGTTTCCATCCAGAGTCCAAAGACATGCTGGTAGGTTAATTGACTTCTGGGTAAATCCAGGGTGTACACTGCCTTGTGCCCGTTGCCTGCCAGGACAGGCTCAAGCTCCCCTGTGCCCCAGAATTGGAAGATGCAGTTAGAAAATGGATCATTTACCCATATAACATGATGATTAATAAAACTGCAAAACAGTATTACCAAACATTACAAGGGGGTAGTGAGATGAGCACAGAGTTTCCAGAAAGCAGAAACAAAGACGTCTGTGTTTCACAGACATTTTCATGTAAACAGTTGAATTGGTAATGCGTTTTCTCACTTTGAAATGGGCCTAGTATCATTCCTGGGCTGAATATACCCAGCAGGGGGAGATACAATCCAATAAATACTGATGAGGTTTAAATGATGTTATCCACAGATCTGCTCTGATTGGTGTTTGACAACCTTTGCTGTCAATCCTCATTAAAGAAAACTGAGTCTATGGCATTAAGACTTCATTTATCTCCAGCACTGAGGCAAGATGTTCAGAGCTCTAGTAGGATTTACTATATTCCTGAGTCTGATTCCATGTAAGAAATGTGCTTTGTATATCTAAGTTACCATTTCTATTTGAAAAAGTTCAGTATGTAGATAGATGAATAGATTTAAATAAAATCTTTAAGACCCTTACATTTAGCATTTAGCTAATAAGAAAAGATAAATACCTGTTATAAATGGTTATAATGAGTTATAAATGACATTGTAGGTTATTTCTCATTTGCCAGCCTTACTCTTTGTCTCTCTGTTTCCACAGGTCCTGTGGTTGGTATCACATTTGAACAGACTCCTTTCCTGTCCAGAAGATCAGAACAGAAAGTAGACATTCATTGCCAACACGATGACAGCAGCTATATTATTATGTACTGGTACCAACAACTCAAAAGCAAAGGAGCTCTGGAACTGATTGGATCTGGTTACAGCTTGCAGGATCCAAACTATGAAGACAAGTTCAAAGCAAGGTTCAAACTGAACAGAGAAACAACCCAAAAGGGCTCCTTGACAATTTCCAATTCAACACCTGAAGACAGCGGCACATACTTCTGTGCAGCCAGTATACACAGTGCCTCATATAGTCTCTTGTCTCTGCAATAACTTCATACTCAGACAGGAAAACCACAGTTCTTTTTTCATTTCATTTTTGGCAAAGCTATCTGAAGATAATGAACCATTTTAAAAGGAATACTGTTATTGTTTATTACAGAAAATATTCCTAAAAACTTCTTAACAAAATAGGTTGCAGTGCTTGTATTGTATTGTATTTGTGAATGCATTCAAATTTGCTTAAGACAGGTCTGAAAGTTCTTAATACATGCATCAAGGCAATACATTACCATTAAGATAAACTTGCAAGGTCCTTTGAAATATATTTTTAGAAGACGTAGTCAAACACAGACTAAGGCAGCAAAACGCAGTTTTGAAATGGGTACACGGCTACATTAAATCTTTCACATCCTTGTTATTTCAAATAAGTATTCTTCAGCTAGCCAAAAATGAATTTAAAACAGTCTGTTGTCAGTTGATGGGCATCATGTAATGTCTTTATCATCTGGCTTATGGTTTACTCAGAGCTGGTTTTTTAGATCTTTGACGTGTTTTTATTGTCACAGGGAGGTGGTGCCTCTGACGTAACATCCTGCAACTGCTACTGCAAGAGAACTACAGTTGCATGATCTAAGTTTCTGAGCTGCTGAGATGAATACCTGGCTACAGTTAATCCTTCATATCCTTCTTATTTCAAGTAAGAGTTCCCCAGCTGGTAGAAAATGAGCTTAAGACAGTTTTTGGTGGCTTGGATTTTCTGTTGCTCTGTTTTCACACCATCTCTCCTGCTACACTGTACTGTAAGAAGTCTGTTTTGTTTCTCCTGATCAGAAATCTCATGCTTCCATATCACATTTTTCCTTATCTTTTGTGTAGTTTTTTCAGATGCAGTCACAATCACTCAGAGGCCTGAAAATGTGATAAAAAGAAATGGGGATCCTGTTACCCTGTACTGCGAACATGATGACAACAACCATGACTACATGTACTGGTACCGCCAGGGAGAAGACCGGCGCTTACTTTTAATTAGTTACTCCAATGCTCCTAACATGGTGTACAGCGACAAGGCATTTGAATCAGGATTTAAAATGCTGAGACCTGAAATCAAGAACTCTTCTTTAGAAATACAAGGTCTCAAGGAGGAGGATGCGGCAGTGTATTTCTGTGCATCAAGTATCACACACTATGTCAGGCCTGCCTCACAGCTGCACAACAAGTCACAACTCTCACAGCCAATTGAAAAGAAAATGCATGGTCACATTCACCAGGTGTTACAAAATCAGTCAACCAGGAGCAGTCACTTTGTCAATCTGTGTGTCAATACAGGCACTAGAGAGCAGTTATCACGCATTTCCAGTATTACTTGCACAGGCAAATAAGCCTGGGGAGTTGCATTTCTTATTTTTGTTGCCAACGTGTACTTTATTACTGATTACCCTCTAACTTTACAGCTGGAGCAAAGTTGTTGCAAGATGCCAAAATGTACAGTAAATCTTGTATTAAAAAGATTGCATTGCACAGTTGTCTCAAAGAAATATTTCAGCACGAGACTGATACACAGTGATTATAAACTAACTTTGACCCAGCCCCAAATAAAAAGTATTTGCTCCCCAATCTCAGCAGTTCACTTAATTACTGTGTCTAACTTGCCTCTCACCATGGACTGACATAGGGGCTTTCTTTCCTCCTAAGCTAAACTAGCAAAACGAAACTGTGTGAGGATGATTTTCTAAGGATTTCCTAAATTTGTTCTGTTTTTGACTGTTTACTTCCTTTAGTTTCAGAAATCTCTTGCTTTGGCAGTTTTGTTGGTCTCTGGTCTGTCCTGTAATGTCTCATATAAATTTCCTCTCCTGTACCAACTTGAACAACCTGTTCCTTCCTGTTCACTGGGGACACTGCTGCCTGCTTTTCAAAGTGATTCACTTCAAGGTAGCTTCCTTTGACAGAATGCTGACAGCTCTGCTCCTGATCGTGCTGTTATTTATTTCACCATGTGAGTAGACAAAATATAAAAGCAACAGAAGATGATGTTGTATTTTAAATCTTTATGTGCTGTAATTGACTTCCTTTGCCTTTCAATACTAACTAGCATAACAGTAAAGAGATGGTGCTCAATTTTCTGTTCTGTGTGCAGTGAAGGCTGACATTGGAAAGTTTTTATATTCAATTATTATTGTTTTACTGTATTTAATAACTATCAGTATTGGATATGACCAGATTATTTGTGAGTTAATTTGTTATTTGTGACTTAAACTGATTTGAGTAAAGGGATATCAAATAGAACAGTTGATAAGACCATCAAGTTAAATTACATTCACAGCTTGAAAACAAAATTAGCATACACATTAGCATTCAAGAGGAAGAGGAGATCATCACAACACAACAAGTCCTGTCCACAAATAAATTAAAGAAGCAGGAAATGAACTGTGATCTTTATTTATTAATCGCTTCTTTTCATTTCTCAGTGAGATCAAATAAATAGGGAAAATCAGAAGAATTAAAAGAAGACCTGCACACCACAGCATATAAACATACAAATTAAACTTACTGAGGTTTAAAAGCAGAATATGCAAATTGATGCCATACAGTTTTGTAAAAATAGAATGGTAAGGTTAATATTTTACATTTAAGTTTACTAGGAAATAGGTGATGTAACTGATTCATTTGGATACCTGTCAACTGATGATTTTAAGAGCTGTGTTTAAATAAGAAAGCAACATTAGATCATTCCAAAGTGTTTTTTTCCCTTCCCAGGTCTCTCAGCCGGCCCGCTGGTGCTCCAACAGGAAGATCCGATGTATCCTTCGGTGGGGGATACAGTGTCCCTGCAGTGCAGCATTGCAGCCGGATCCTCCATGAGCAGCTACACCATGCAGTGGTACAGGCAGAAGGACAGGCACCGAGCCGTTGAGTTCATCAAGAACGAGTACGATGCTTCCGACTCAGGCCCTGAGGAACACTTTCAGGTATCCATCGCAGCCTCTGAAAACCAGTTCACTCTGGAGATCAGAAACCTGAGCAAGGAAGACACTGCAACCTACTACTGCGCGGCGAGTCACATCGCTGTGGGCCTGTGGAGGGCCTGTACAAGAAGGAGAGGAGGCAGCAGAACACCTGGCATAGCGTCTGAGGACACGTGAGCTCACAAAATTGACATGCAGACGTCACACCTAATAAAATACAACAGCCTATAGTTTACTGCACTTAACAGTATGGCATTGTTGTGTATGAATATTCTTATATTGCGTGCAGTACATATTGTGCTATGAATAGAAAAAATGAATATATGTAAGATGCAAAGTTAATGTAAAGCTGGCACTCTTGGGAGTTATTGATGACAGAGTCCTGTAACTACTGTAGGAACACCTTGATACCAGGGGAGAATGTTATGTCCTCATGGAAGAAACAGGTAGAGGGGTCTGCTAGCTAAAGAAAAAAATCTTGTTAGTCTTAAACAAAGAAGATTATGAAGAGACCTGATATAAGTATTCAAAATCCTTAGCCCAGTGTGTACCTGCCAGACCTCTTCAGAATGAACAGTGAAACTCAGACCAGAAGACACTAGGCAAAACTCAGTGGAAGTGCATTTAAAACCAAGAACAGGAGGCACTTGTTTATCACAAGGGTTGTGGGAGTATGGAAAAGCTACCAAGCCGTGTTGCTAAAGCCCTTCCTTCAAGAAAAGGCTGGATGAGATTCCGAGATCAGTTAACTACTAAATATAAAAAAGATAAGATGAGCTGAATGGCCTCCTATTTTTTGTACTTGTAACTAAATAACTTTATAATTTTGTCTTGTTCTCCAGAAGATAACTTTGAAATTTAAAATAATATCAAAATAGTGCACTTTAAATATTTCCAGTCATTTAAAGATGACACAATTTGTGAAATTCACATGGAATGAACTCTTTATTCATTACAGTTAGGAAGAAATGAAGAAATTAAATGAAGTGTTTTTTTGTAAAAGTGCTACAATGTTAATGAAGAATGTACTTTCACTTTTCAGAAAAATTAACTCTGCTTCACTTTATCTATTTCAGGTATGAGGCAAATAAAGTGTTTTTTTAACTATTTCCAAATTAGGAGCATTTCCTTTTGTCTGCCTGATTTGTTTTCTCCCCAGTGAGCACCTCCACAAGTTCTAGCCAGTCCCCCATTGGTGGCACTGTTTCCTCAGCTAGACACACTACAGCAGGGCCTTATCAGAGCTGGAACACACTGAGCCGAGCAGCACCAGTGGGCTTCTGTTTTATCCCTGAACTCAGTACACAGCCTGTCTGATGCAATGGTTTCATTGGCTAAACACATCTCCGCCTCTTGAACTGGCTCAGTCATCTTTATTGATGATGTAATTAATGATAACAGTAGCATACAGAATTCAGAATTTTACAGAATCATGTTATCTCCTTACTTAAAATTAATTAAATTTTGTTTCATTAACCCATGTAATCTTATTACGAAGATTTCCCTCCTGAAAGGGCATCTTTGTTCTTGGCTTCCATAGATGTTTTGAGACTGGTATTAGGAGTTAGATAAAAAACATCCCTAATTCACACCTGGCATGCACAAAAGAATTGTAGTGTAACAGGACCATTTACAAGATCTACAAAGTGTTGAGGTACTGTGATGAATCACAGACTCTAAAAGCACAGTCAAAATAAATAAAATAAAAGGAATCCAGTATTTGTAACAATACAGGAGAGATTCACAGGATCTAAATTTAAAGTGATCCGAGTTGGGTCCATCACTATGCTTCTGAGCAAGCCACATCTGGGGATTCTTTGAAGGTCAACTGCAACACAAAGATCCGATAACAGCTTAGTTCAGGTTATTACGTTTTGAGACAGAAAACAGAAAACACGTCTTTACGCAGAGGATTGTGGAAGGCTAGACCCAGCTTCCAGAACACATGGTCAAAATGTTATAAGGATAGATAGATGTTTTAGAATATTAAGCTACTAGCAACCAACAGGAGAAGGAGGAGACAAATGGATTCTCATTTCCAGCTTTTCTTATGTTCTGGTACAATCACAACAGAAATGCACACAAGAAGAACGAAATGGCAGAAAAGACAAGGTAGTGGAGAGAAGCAGATTAACAAAAGATAAGGGAGAAAGACAAGAGTTTAGAAATGGCAGGGGGCTGGATGACAATGGTTATAGAGGCAAGGATTAATTTTCAAGTGATACGAGGACAGACGGACAACCAGTGAAGATGGGCTTTGTCCAAGCACCGAAATACAGAACATGAAACAGGCTTAAAGTTTTGGGAGATAGAGAGGGAGAGCTGCTATTGCAATGAGACCCAGACAGGAGATGTCTGTCAAGTCTAGAGAGAAAAAAGCTCTAGGTGAGGATTAAAGAAGATTGCTGGGGTTTTTTTTTCTCTTGCTACACTCTACTTTCATTTTGTTCAAAGAAAAAGTAAATAAATAAAAAATTGCAAGGAATAGTATATCTAAATAGAAACCAAAAACTAAGAAAAACATGCTCAAAACAATTGCTTTACAGTAAGTTATGTCTTGCTTTAAATAAAACTGCAGGGTCAAACTAAGAGTAATGTTCAGATAGATGAAAAAAAAAACAGGATAAAATTCTCTATCTGGTAAATGGTTAAAATCTGGGCTGGAAACGAGCACTAAGCATTACACTGAACTAGTAGACTAGTTTTAAAAATAAGAAGATCCGCCCACTCAAGTTGAAATAGACTTCGCACAAAGAAGCCCAATTGGTTCAATTTTCACAATATCAAAACCTCAGTTATGATACACAGATGCCAGTATCATCTGCAGGGAATCAAGACCCTGCTCCTCACTGCACCTGTTAAAATGATGGTCATTATATGCTGTGTGCTTAGTGTAATGCAGTTTATTACCGGTAAGTGCTTTTCCTGTCATACTGTAGAGACATCAGTGTTTGGTAAAAACTTTAATGTTTGTAGGATGGGGATTTTATTTTTCTTTATGTGCCTTTCATCATTAGCTGATGCTTTTTATTTTTCTTTCAGATTTGTGTCATGCAATCAATGTTGATCAGACTCCTAAAGAGATATTGATAACAGCCAAGGGGGCTATAAACCTGTCCTGTGAACACGACATAACTGGAACCACCTATATCTACTGGTACCGACATGTTGGAGAAACAGGCATATCTTTAATAGGCTATTCTGTTGCTACTGGAGTTGCAGACATGGAAGCAGACTTTAAAGCTTCCAGATTTGTAATGAATAGAAAAGAAGCTCAAAAGTCCACTTTGGAAATCCAGAGTCTAGAGTCTGCAGACAACGGAGTGTATTTCTGTGCATCAAGTCTCACACAGTGCCTCAGACCAGTCTCACAGCTGAACAACAACTGACACTCAACCACAACTCCCACAGGCAGTGGAAGAGATTCACCCCTTTTCCACGTGCATGACAGCAAGTCATTGATTTTTATCAATCCTCCATGTCTTGAGACAGCTTTTATCCATGTTAAAAGCCATTCTCTTTACTGTTCTGCAACCTAGCATTTTGAATTTATACTGTATATGTAGTTTTCAGATAATAAAATGTCAGTATCATTCAGTCATACAGTAACTGGGCTTTTAGTGGCATGTTCAATCCCCACTTACTTATTTCTTATCAAAGCTCTCTGTCTGGACAAGGAATCCTTCAGCAATCAAAGGAAACAGTTACAAAAGAAAAGTGATATTTTAAGTGAAAACATTAAAAATGTTAAACGCAGAAAATGAGCCATTAAGGGATTTCAAGAAAATCAAGCATTTGGGAAAAAACAACTTATTATTGATCTCCATGGGGGATATCATCAATGTTTAGTAAAATATTGTGGCATTCAACATTTATGTTAAGAAATAAAACACTGAGGGCATGTTTTTAAGCAACAAAAAACCTAGATGTATGCATACAATTCTTGAAAATTATTGGACATTCAATTCTTTAATGTCTTAAATTCTTGGAAATCCTGGAAAGCCTGCTACACAGCTAGTGGCAAAAAAATAAATTCAGATTTGGGATAATCATTAATTGTTATGAGTTAGTACAGAAATTCTCCCACTCACAAAATATTATGGCTTCAAATGCTGGTCCTGTTTATTAGTCTCCATACTTTCAGTATGGCAGAGAAAAGCATAATGCAATAACAGTCACATGTAAATATAAATGATCGTAATGTGTGGCTTCAGATTAGAACAGATTAAAATAATGATTATTTTTAACATTGCATGGAGTTAAGTATTGTTTGTCCAAATTTTAGTTTGAAAAAATGATTCAGTTAAGAATTAATTTTCGCCAGTGTTAAGATAAATAAAATCACCTAAATAAATAAAACTGAATATAAAAAAGTATCTTAAGTTGTGGAATGTAAAAATGTCTTCTGTTGTAAGACCCCCAGATCAATAAATGGCTAGAAAGAAAATGAACACAGTGATTCAAATGGCCTCCTCTTGTTTGTAAGCTTTTTATAGTTTTAAGTTCTCAACACTTAGGAGACTTGACCCCTCCCTTCCTGCAGTGCTGTGTGTAAAGTGCCATTTGGTCCACAGTCAAAACAGTATAAAGACCAGACCTGCAGTGCAGCTTGTCCCGTGTGCATTGTGTACCTGAGACTGAGTCTGCTCCTGTCTGTATCAACTGAAATCATGATCACATTGTTCTGTCTGTTCGGTTTTATACACTATATAACCAGTAAGTGACTTTCCTGTCTGAACTGTTGTTGTAGCTGAAGCAGTGTTTACAGTATGTCATTGTAATGTTTATTAATGTAGAAGCTTGTTTGTGTGCATTGTGTACCTGAGATTGAGAGCCTGCTCCTGTCTGTATTGACTGAAATCATGATCACATTGTTCTGTCTTTTTAATACACTATATAACCAGCAGTGTCTTTCCTTTCTGACTTTTTGTAGTAGCTGAAGCAGTGTTTATGATGTTATTGTAATGTTTAATTTAAGAATATAAAGTACTTTCCTAAGACTAGCATGTTGATATTACTGCTTTATTTTATTTTTTCAGATCTTACCTTTGCATATGATGTCATTCAGACTCCTGAAAAAGTACTGGAACATCCTGGAAAAACTGTAAAATTACAATGTGAATATGATGGTACTACAACAAACTATATCTATTGGTATCGACAAGTTGGTGAAGGAGGGTTATCTTTAATAGGGTATTCCGTTGGTGTGGGGATCATAAATGAGGAAGCAGAATTTAAAGCATCAAGATTTGTAATGAACAGGAATGAAACCAAAAAGTCCACTTTGAAAATCCAGCCTCTGGAGTCTGCAGATACAGCAGTGTATTTCTGTGCATCGAGTATGACACAGTGCTTCAGATCTGACTCTCAGCTGAACAACAACTGACACTCAGCCACAAAGCTCACAGCCACTGGCTCTTTCTCAGCCACACTAAAAGCAGACCGTAAATGTGCTGCTTAAGTAAATCAAACGACAAATGCTATTACAATTGTTCTATTAAATGTTGTTTGATTGCTATTTTGTTTGAGAACAGTACTGTAAAAGGATAATAAACCAATTTGTGCAGAATAAAACTGATTAATAGTCAATAGCTTAGCTTGCCCTGATGGTTAACATTGCTGCCTCTCAGCTCTTGTGCTCTGAGTTTGATTTCAGCCTGAGATGCCCTGTCCTTGTGGGTTTTCTCCAGGTGCTTCAATTTCTTCTCACAGGCCAAATACATACTGCCTATGTTGACTGGCTTCTCTTAATTGCCCCTGGTATTTATGTGTGAGTGGCCCATTTAGGGTGTAATCTTACCAAGAGCCCAACAGACCTTGAAAACCAGGTTAACATATGGAATCTTTCTAGCTCACATGAACTTAACACACAATTAACTGAATAAAACCAAGATAATGAACACAATTCTGCACCACCGTAATTGCTTTCAATGTAGATGACAAAGGCATCAGATTGGATAGAAAGTTTTTCCAAGTCTCAAACACACTCACTGGTTTGCCGATCTTTCATTCTTTGGAAAACAAGTAAAGAAACGCAGTTTTATAGGCAGCACACCCATAGCAAATTGTTTAATCAAAGGTACAGAGCTGGTGGTTCTGACCCTCTGCC